ATGACCTACCTTCCTGTTTGCATCCAAGACGCTCTGTCCCTTCTTTGACCCAGGCATTGTTGAACTTGACCCAATCCCAAAAATGTTCCAGATATTGCTTGTTCAAAGAGGACTTGACCGGCACCAGGAAAGATGAACGGTGACTATCCAAACTTTCACCAACTGTTTGAATCCGCCAGATCTGTTTCTATCGTCAGAAACTGTCAATCACGTCTCATAAACCGTTAATGCCCAACTCTTGCTACGCTCGGGCTCACGCTGTTCCTTGCAGTTTTTCAGAAACGCTTAGTAATAACGGACGAAAAAACTAAAAGACCGATTGTTGACTCGAAGATTCTTTGTTGTTACACCAACATATAAAAATACTGTTTTTACTAGGGTTTCTGATAGTTTGCTGCTGACTTCTCTCTGAACAGTGACCGATGAGACGATGACTGTCGTATTGATGCCTCCGCGAAAATTGGGGAAGTTGGTTTTGAGCAAACAACCATGAATTGATCGTTCAATCTTCAAATACATTGACAACCATATCGAGGAATATGTACCAAATCTGCTTTTTGGATAAAAAAAATTGATGTGCGTTTACTATACAGTAAAATAATGCTAAGTTCAGAACATTGAAAAAAGTACATCTAATTAATTTTTTGTGTATGTAACATGAACTGTTGAAAAAAATATTTTTTGTGTTCGGTGGTACTGTATATAAAAAATTGATACGTCAAAAGAAATAGTCAGTACCACAAACGAATGAGTTGCGTGAATCACACGACTTTGTTATGTTAAATAAGTATGAAGATATTCTGGGAACCTTACGGTGTGTCCAGAACGGGTTTTCTTGGGAGGCTCGATAGAAGGTTCGGTAGCTGTCGCTGTGCTAGTGACTTCATCGACGTCTAAACGATCTTCTGTTACCTGTGGATTTTGGGGTACGTCGAGCTCTATGCTGATAGGATTACCCTCCAAGTAAGCCGGTTTCATTATAGCCTCGACCTTAGTAGCCAGTGGGCGAATGCCCTTGCAGTCAATAGTGTGACCCAGAAAGTCGAGTGAGTCAACACCGATTTGACACTTTTGAATAGTGATGGTAACACCATGTTGGCGTAACCTGTCAAATGCCAAGTCCAAGTGCCTAAGGTGAGTTTCCTTGTCTGGACTGGCAATGAGGCAGTCGTCTAAGTATGCGTATACAAAGTCGAGACCGCGAAATACTTCGTCAATGAAGCGTTGGAATGTTTGGGCTGCATTCCGGAGACCGAATGGCATACGTAGAAATTCAAAAAGTCCGAAAGGCGTAATGATAGCCGTTTTTGGGATATCTTCTGTTGCCATCGGGATTTGGTTATACGCTTTAACCAAGTCGATTTTGGAGAATATAGACGCGTCTGATAAGGTTGCCGTCAAGTCGTGTATATGAGGCAACGGGTAGCAATCAGGGGTTGTTTTGGCATTCACTCCCGGTAATCACCGGTGGGTCGCCAATCATTGCTATCCTTTTTCGGAACCATATGAAGTGGGGATGCCCATGGGCTATTCGAAGGTCGAATGATGCCAAGGGTAAGCATATGGTCAAATTCATTCCTGGCGATTCTCAGTTTGTCAGGAGCTAATCGTCGTGCTTTAGATGTCACAGGTTGTCCTGTGGTAATGATGTGGTGCATAACATTGCTGGTTATGCACGGTAGGTCGTTCGACGGGCAGTTAAGTTCCGGATACTTGTCAACATAGGTTGAAAAGTTGGATCAAGAATTGCCTTTATCTTAACGGGTGACAAACTAGGGCCTATGTAGCTGATGCCTTTGATAGACAGACTAGTAGTATTGTCAATCAGTCGTTTTCGGCGGACGTCTACGAGTAAATCATGATGATTAAGTAGGTCCGTGCCAATGATGGGCATTGTAACGTCAGCGAGAAGGAAAATCCATCGAATAGGTTTGCGTAAACCTACGTTCAGATAGACGTATTTTCTACCAAAGGTTGCGATTGGTTTTCCATTTGCAGCCTGTAAGTTGAAGGTAGGTTCCTTCTGTCGATCTGCTGCTGTAGCAGGAAGGACGCTGACTTCGGCGCCTGTGTCGACTAAGTATCGAGTCTGGCTTATCACATCATGGATGTAAAGTAGGCGGCTAGTGCCACCGGCGACGGTTGCCGCTAACGCGTGCCGGCGGGATAGTTTCCCACAGACTTTGAGACATTTCCGAAGTTACAAGGCTTACGGCAACACTTCGCTTCTTGGCCATAGGTGTTGTGGTACCAGCACCAGTCAGGGTTTTTCAGTGAACGTGGTTTGGACTTAGATCGACCACGTGAGTTCCTGCGTTGAGGAGATTTAGGACGACGGTCGGAGGATTTAGAAGGCATGTTTGACCTAAACATCTGTTGGATGGAGTTGCATAACTCTATCATTGCAGGATCCTTACTCGAAGTCTGCTTAGTCATCGAGCATATTTCGGGAACCGACCGTTTAGTTATTTCTAGAATCCTATCTGCAGTAATAGCTAAGTCCTCTATTACAGTACCCTGAAGTGTCACAAGTACGGTCTGTACAGACTGTGGCAACTTGGATAAGAAGAGTTCTCTAAATAGTCCTTCGTCGAACTGACTTTGGCCAACGACTTCTTTCATTCTTGTCAGCATGCTCACGGCTGACTGATCTCCTAACTCGATGTTACGAAATAATTCGTCCGGACGTTGTCGGTCCATGAGAACGTTTCTCCTGAGGAGGGATGCTTTGAGCAACTCGTACGAGTTATAATAATAATAATTTATTTTCATATAAACATAAATTTACATGAAAATGCATGCCATTTTTACAGGCACGATCAAGTATGGCATAATGTCAAATCTTAAATTGTCTACAAGTTAATAATGTTTCAACAGTTAAATATTTGATACATATATATAATTACACTCATTGTCTGAACCAGGCCGTATAGTTATTGAATTGTACAGTTGTCCTCCAGGTTGAGCGGGAAAATCGACTTCGTTTCGTTTTCATCCCGTGGTTGTAGGCATACGATAACCAACCAATATTGAGGTAAGTACAACGTTTACAAGGGATTGAAAGCTGTTTTAGAAAAGTTAAAGTTCTAAGGTGAAACATTAAAGTGTAATAGATTAAGTGAGTGAAATATATCATTAATAAACACATTTATATAGAAAACAGAATGGGGAAGTAATTAATCCTTAGGCCGACAACGTTCATTTGCAATGTATAATGAAACCAATATATTTTGTACTATCATGATGTCCACTTTTGGCTTTAATACAATTATTTTCAAGCCAGTTGTTTTTATTTCATGTCTTTTTTTCTATTTGGTGCACAACCGTACCCTCCAGAGAATAGGAATAGAATAAGTCGAATCAAATTCCTAAAGAGCTATAAAATGTTAGGTTTAATGGAATATAATGAGGATCAAGTAAAGACGTTATTAGAAAATGAATGAGATGAGACATTGTGAAGTTGTATTTAAAGATCTGACAATGGATAGCAAGTTAATTTATAAGATGCCCCATAAATCTGTGCACATCCCACATGGTCGCATCTCAACAATAGGCTGGGCGAATTGTTACACCAACATATAAATCAAGTATGACTAAGGTCTGTGAACAAATATTACAATAATAAATCATAATATTACTTCTGACGATGTTTTACTCTTCTTTCTGAACAGCGACCGATGAGACGATGACTGTCGTATTGATGCCTCCGCGAAAATTGGGGAAGTTGGTTTTGAGCAAACAACCATGAATTGATCGTTCAATCTTCAACTCCATTGACATCGGTTATCCCATGCTCACAAAAATGTGCTTCAGCTAGCAGAAACCACGTTTCAGCATTATCTGGCCAGTATGGTACGAGCTGAGTGGTTTTAGGAGTTGAGCGGATACGAATGGCCTTGGGACTAAGATCCCTCATGACGAAACTTATGTCGAATAATGTATGATACAAGAATAAATACAAAATGGAACGAACTCACCGGGGTTATCTGTGGATTTATCGTGGATGAATTTCGTGGTCGGGCTCACCAGTTTAGAGGGGTTGGTGGAATTATCTTACACCACCTCTAAATTATTCTCGCGTACCGAAAACAAAGCAAAAGCCAATAATTGATCGTCCAAACTTCGGATATATTTCGGACCAAAACAAGCCTTCAGACGAACGCTTAGCTAGCTGGTGATCGTGCACGTGACACGACGGGGTACCAAAATGGCGGGGATGCTTGACCGGAAGCCTTCAGCTAAACAAGCCGACTTAAACAGTGGTGGTCAGCATCCAATGGTGAGTGATTGCTGTGGTCAATAATTTTGGGGAATGATTTACCGCTACAATGTCTTCAGTTCAGCCTTGACACATGCTTGTTAACTACAGACACTTCTGGTGCAGCCAAGAATTTCGTGACGTTTAAAATATTATGAACGCTTGACTGCACACCTTTATTTGACCTGTTGGCCGAAACAGTGTTTTGGTTTTTTGATTACAGCTTGATTCTACACGGTACTATTTTGGTAGAAGTATGGAATTTTCAGCATGCAATATCGGTAGCCCAAATTTTGCAGGTCTACCATTGATATCAGGTGTGCGTCTGCAGTGGATCCTACCCCAGACCATGTGCATGGTCAGCGAGAGTCTTAGCCGCTGTCCCACTGACGCTTGGGTGATGATAAATGTGTAGGCTGGTAATTTTATGTCATTTACCACCACAGAAGTACTCTTGGGAACTATATCAGTGGAGGCAATCTTTATCCGGTTTCCCTCTTCTCTCTCACCCAGTAAGAACAACTCAAATGACAGTAGGTGAGCGAACTAGCCAGTGATGAATTGTTACGCTGTGAAGCAAGAGTCCTCTCATGGAAGATATGGGATCTAGGTCTTTATTACACAAGAAAGCAGATAGACATAAGCACCTGTCATTACTTATTAAGGTCCAAGTAATCTATTTCAACAAACTGACACAGTACCAATTCATTAACAGCTGAAAAACAACTAAAACACTGAAAGCCGCATGAATGCAAGGTATGAAACAATTACAACGAAATGAATGCACTGAGCTGGTAGTGAAAACTTTCGAAACCAAAGAAATAATTCATTTTAACAGCAACGGAAACAAAAAATGAGGTGAAACGCAACATTTGTGAACAATACGCAACAAGATAAATCGTGAATCACTGCAGGATAAACGGAACAACAAACGCGTAGACGAGCAGCTACGGAAGTGCAAGCCAACATGGCCGACTAACACGGAAGAAAATGACCTTGAGCGTCTCACTCCACCAATGACCTTGTAAGTTACGGGTAATTTCAGTCAACAAAATACTTGAATAACAGTTATTGAGACTTTCCCGCGCCTGTCAAAGGCAGCGCTACATTCTGGCATGGTAGGGCATTTATGTCTTGCTAATCCTGGTTAGTTGTATAATAATTGATTAACGTGCTGGCAGTGTCAAGTCTTTTTTGTGTATACTAGTTTTGGCGAAGTACAAGAATAGCGTCTCAGGAGTGCGATGATGACGCGCTTTGAGGATCTACGTAGATTAAATGTACATTTACTCTCATCAATCACGTATCTGTTCATTCGCCGGTTAATTTTTGCATTTTACAGTTAATTTCACTTTTTGGTATGTTAAACAATTTCACTGCTATTACAATTTAATTGTCCACATTCTGATATTGTTGTATAATTGGTGTCTCTGCATTCTTTTAAATCAATGAGTTTGGATGTCAAGCACATGGGCTTGACATCCAACAGTCCTAAACTTATCCTAACCTATTCTTCCACAATGCCTTTTTATGGTAAATGAAAATTTTATCTACCCACTATGTTCTGAAATGAGGCTGATCGCGCTTAAGAAGAGAACTGGGTACTGAATTAAGTCCTTTTGTTCTGAAGTAACGCTAGTCCGTTCTTGATATGTCCTGTGAGGGCTGGAGCGACGCTCATAAGCAAACCCAGTAGGTTCTGGTCTACTTCTGAAAATGCCTACAAAAAGAATACAGTGCTGAATTAGTGCCAGTCATGCTGAAAACCAGCACTCAGCTCTAGTCTGTGACATTAAAGAATGCACTTCAGAATGGATTCAGAATTTACTCACTATAGAATGTTAGAACTACTCGAGAATTAGTGAGATTTAATTTAGCATTATAGTGAGCTTGGGAGAGTAAGACTACTAAATTTGAAGTTTGTTATCCCTTCACGTTTTCATTGGATATAGATCTAACGGTCTTGTAATTCGTTTATTCTTAACGCTTAGATGAAATGTATAGAGAATATAAAGTACATCGTTCATCACAGTGCATGAACTCACTAACCAGTGGAGAGAGTAGGTGTTCAAATGAATGTACTGTGACAATAAGCCAAACAGTTTATGAGTACTATGATTACCTTAAGAGGAGTAGGTCCATTGGGATTATGAAGATCATCGACGATTGCTGAATATCACTGAAATGTGTGTGCACTGTTGGTTTCATGAGAGTCTTACTACTTTTTCTGTAGATTCCTAATAAGAGAGTTACAGGTATCCATTCTTCCTTGACTACCCACTCGTGGGAACTTATTTTTAACTTAGAACATCTGTTAAGCATGCCTAGCTATCGCCTCCGTCGACGGGCAATGTTAGCTGACATAGTATTGATCAGGTTGGGAAAGAGGGAGCTAGTGGTGGTGAAACCAAAACATGGCTTCATCGGTCAATGAAATCCACAACAGTTTAAGCCAGCCAGCCAGTCACGTAGGGAGGTGAATCTCTTCGTTATTTTATTTACAGATTATATGGATTTCTCACTGTGTACAAATCTTACTTCGTTCAATTCTGCAGACTACAGTTAAATCAATTACAAGTCCCTCCGTTCATCTGTCCGTCCACAAAAGAATTAAATGGCACTGCTAGGATATATTGGTTCTCAGATACACGAACAATCTTTAAGTTTTTTTGAAAATACTTTCGGTGGAGATCTTATCACCCTGCCGTCTATAGAACCACCACCTCTAGACAAAATAAAATGTATGCAATGCAATGATCCACTGGATTTCTTAATGCAATTATACTGTCCAATTGGTGACTCCGAATATCATAGAAACTTGTACTTCTTTGTCTGTTTAAAACGTTCATGTCAAGTGAGTGGAAATAATTGGAGAGTTTTACGCTCTCAATGCATCGCAGATATTAGTGAAAATTCTAAATCGAAGCCATGTACAAGTTGGTGTGCAGAATTCGGTGCTGAGGATGATGATGAGGCTTTTGATGGAGAAAGTTGGGGTCCAGCGCCGACCAATAATACAACAGAGGTAAATGAAACGTTTTTCTCTGAATCTATACTCTGTTGAAATTAGGACAGTTTTTGCTGATGTGGTTGCATTATCTGAGTAGGGCGGTTTAATTGTGAAGCTTTTGTTGTCTGTTCTAGACTGACTGACTGTTTTAAACGTAGAACAACTTTGCACAGATGTGCACCATTTCGAATCGCCACACTTCCACGTAGCACACAAAGCAAGAGAATAGCGTAAAGACACATTCAAAGAGAGATAATAAACTTAAATGTGAGGCAAAAAGAATAGTTATATGGAGGAACAATAGAATTTTGTTGGATATGATAAATCACAAGGATGCATCTGCGCCAACCACTGAGAACGATCACTTTCAGCCATATGACCAATTGTATTTAGTCTTCTTTAGTTTACACCATCACGAGGATCCCAACCAGTTAGCCAGCCAGTCTACACCTCCCTACGTGACTGACTGACTGGTTTAGACCAACTGTTGTGGCCTTGATTGACTGATGAAGCCATATTTTCGTTTGACCACTACTGGCTCTTTTTCGATCCTATGTCAGTCAGCTAACATTGCTTGTTGTCGAGAGAGGCGATGGCTAGGCATATCTGCTTTAGACGACATCTTCAGTGCAAACTTCAATATGAAGTGAACACAATCACAGCAAAATCATCCATCTGAGCTGAAAATCTTCTGTACTTTTACAATTTATTAACCCTTGCATCTTACCCACTATTCTTTATTGCTCCTGGGCTACTTTAAAAGGACTCTGTCATATTGCGAAAGGCATTAAAGGTTGTCATTAGGGCAATTAGTATGTCACTAAATCATCCCGTTACTACTGTAGTGGATAGACACCCGAATTCCTGCGAGAGATAAGCTAAATACAAATTGTCTGACTTTCAGTACCCTCTCTATTCACAAATCTCTACTCGAATCTCATCAGTTAGGGCTAAAAGTCATATTATAAAAGATTATACGCGACTCAGTGATTGATTGACTAGAATAATAATAATCTGGTTGACTTAAAATATGCAGATAATGTAGTCCTCCCACCTAGGTGAAGACTCTGATAAGATGCAGAGTCTTCTGAACACGTCGAGCCAAGCAGCAATCTTCGAATATTTGTAATGCGATTCGCTCCAGCCCAATGTAAGATGATGCTCCAGTATTGAACTACATCGACTCATTTATAGCTTAAAGAAGAACAGGAGCGAAGTGGTTAGTGGAGCTTGTTGACCACTGCACTTACTTGGAGAGTTGCATTAGACTCAACGGGGTTGATCGCTGACAAAATCTCAACATGGATGGAGAATGCTCGTTTGGTATTCGTCTGCAAGCTGATGCCATATCTAGCGTAGACGTGACATCCATCCGACTGGCTATCGATCGAAGGATATGTTTGTTGCTGAGCGGTTCGCTTTGTCCTCCTTTATCACAGCACAAGCTATTTCCATTGAAAGTGGAAGATACGAAGAGGCGAGCTGTCTTTGATCGTAGGTGTCTGGGTTCCATCTCCCGTGTTAAGTGGTATAATGAGGTGAGCAATATTGAAGTTAGGCGTCGAGTGCTATGCAAGGAGGAGAAATCAGAAGACGAGGTTGTGAAGTTACATCGATTTGAGGTGGTTGGGACAACAGGTGTTACGCATGCATGCCTAGCCATCGCCTTCCTTGACAATAAACAATGTTAGCTGACTTACATGGTTGATCAGGTTGGAAATGAGTTAGCTAGCGGTGGTGAAACCAAAACACGGCTTCATCAGTCAATCAGATCCACAACAGTTAGTCTAAGCCAGTCAATCAGTCAGCCACGTAGGGAAGTATAGATTGGCTGGCTGATTGGTCGGAGTCCCCAGGATGGTGTAAACTGAAGAAGGCTGAAGACAATTGGTCATATGGCTGGAAGTGATCGTTCTCAATGGCTGGTGCAGATGCATTCACTCATTGTGGCTGATCGTATGCAATAAGATTCTATTGTTCTTCTGTATTACTACTCTTTTTCGCTTACTCACACTTCTGTTTAGAATCTCGCTTTACCTTCTTCTGTTGATTTGTGTGCCGCATGGAGGGAGTGTGTCAACTCAAAATGGTGCACATCTGTGCAAAGTTATTCTACGTTGAAATCAGTCAATCAAGTAACCGTAGAATAATTCGATTGCTTCAGTTACAATTAATAAGGTGAATTTGTAATCCTGAGCTTATTGTTTAAAAGATAAGCTTATAAGATTATTACGTTGTTAGGTAGTTTAATGCAGTTGACAGGAAGTTTCTGACTTATGCATTTCTTGCTTGTTGGCATTTGTCAGCAAGGCGTATCTGCAATCCTGAGGGAGCTCATGTCTCTTCTGTGACTGGAGTTCGGGTCACTTAGTTCTGCAGTCACAGACATTACCACTGAGCTATTTGTACCTGCATTTGACCTTCTGTTTTAGGTGGAACACAGACCTTTAATCACACGTCTCCACTTTGTTCTATTTCCTGCTAGCTCCACGATTGCCCATAGTCTCTCATCTCCTCCTCGTCACACGATCTCCTCGCACCGACGACCGACTCGTCGCTTCCCATTGGGATTCCACTCGAGCGATGGCCTACCCGATCCTTCTCCATTTTCTCCCACATATTTGTCGAGCGATCGGCTCTTGGTTAGTTTGTCTTCATAATTTCTTGTTGTTAATTCTTTCTGGCAGACTATTTGATCTTCAGTATGGAACCACCGAAGGGGCAGCTGTTGGTAAAAGTCTGCTGTAACCTGTTGGAAATCCTTTTCGTGACACGCCAAGCTTATGACCTGTATAGAAGAACCGACTTCACATTGGTGTTGAAAATTCGAATCTTCTTCTCTATGTTGGCTGAGTGCAGAAGATTTCCAAACTGGTTTCAGGTTGATGAATGCGTATCTTACCTTTCAGATAGATGAAGAAGGCAACCTCTTTCAAGTCTCTCCTTTTGATGGTGATTGATGCTGGTTATTTTTGTTGTTGCTGTTGCGGTTCGTTGGTTATCTTCGTCACCTTCGTCTTCTCTATGTTCATCTGAAGTGCTGTCTTCGTTGCCTGCCAGCTTCTTCAGCCAGTTTGTTGGCTTTTCCCTGTAAGTTTTCGAGTTTATGTGACATTAGACATATGTCATCAGCGCGCGAAATCCAGATCTTCTAGAGTCTTCTTATAAGCGGTCGAACGTATTACTGCCTTCTTGCTCCCCACAGACGGTGTCCCGCATAATCCAGTCCACCACAATTAAAAATATCACCCGTGGTCATAATAGACAGGCGGCCTTTTCTTACTCCTGTTTTCGCTGTTTTTTCCGTTGTGGATCACCTGACATGTGGCAGACATTGTCATATAGCCAGATGTTAAATTGAGGTTGATGAAAACCTGAGGTACAGTAAACTGAGGTTTTCTGGGTGTATAATCCAACTACTGATATAAAATTTCAGTAGTATAAAATGTCTAGGTTCATTTTCATGGAACTTCACTTATGCTATATTCACTTACTTTTCACAAATACACAACTGTGCTAAATCTATTGCTGTGTGAGGTTCCTACGTGTACTGTTTGACCTGTAGTTCATTGGCATCTAGGCACTGAACTTCCAATCAATAGGTCACACCTCCGCCTACCAAGCTATGGACAGTCAGGTAGGCAGAAATCGGCTGTCTCCACCACAAAACAGATTTGGCTCATTTCCAACTGTATGAAAATACAAGCACCTATTGAATATCAATAGTTGGACAAGAAAGTGAGTATTGTTACCGCTTCCATATCCCTATAGTATTTGCAACATACTCGATCAATACACAAATACTGTGCATCATAGACAAGAGATAATAGACAGCGATAGGGAAGCAGATGTGAAATTATCAACCTAGTTAAGCTAAAAATATGAAATCAATTCGACAGGATTTTTTAGAAAGCTTTTAACCTTTTGACTAACACACAATACAGACAAATAATGTTGTGTCTACACTTAATTATATTTTTGGCAAAGTTAAACTCTAAGCTCCGCTAACCACCAGTCAGAGATGACCTCGAACAACGCGCCAATCAAGTGAAGGAGGCACTTTTGTGCACAGAATACATATATTTATGAAATAAATGCACAAAAAACTGTATAAAAGTGTTTCAGAGGATACCTTTCTCTCACATATGGTAAAAATAGCTCCAGTTTTAGGTTGTAGTATCAATAGAGTATAATTCCATTGTGAGTAAAATTTATTTTGACGAAGCCTCATAGTATAATACAGTAATATTTCCTGAGCAATAAATTGTGCTCGAAACGTGGTCATCAGTAAATATTCTACCGTGCACGAGTACCATTCTTATATCAACAGAGTAATTTAACCACATTCTATGCATGTAATTATTTAGATCTTCTAACCCCAACAATAAACCTAATCTTTCGTGATCATAATCTTAACGTAAAAATATCCCTCAACTAACTGTAATCTAACTCGAACCAACCCTACTTCGCCTTTATTAGGTTAACCTAACCCTAACTTGTCCTTGGCTTAAACCGTAACTTAATTCTTCCCAAACCTAATATGGAACTTGTCAGATATCCCATTTAAACAACCTAACAATTTGATGAGCCTATTTTATTGATGATGACAGTTTTATTCGCCAGGTTTCACTAATTTTCTCATTGAGCGTTAACTTAATCTTTCCCAAACCTAAGGTGAAACTTGCCAGAAATCCTATTCAATAGAATAACACTTCGAAGAGCATATTTTATTGATGATGACAATATTATTCGCGTTTCAAAGTCATTGGTGCGGCTCCACTCCATTGGTGGTAATTAGTGGTGCTTAAAGTTTTATTTGGCAATATTTTTGTATATGATGAGAAAGGTTTAACAGCAATGGTCTGTGACAAGTACAGAACCAACTAAGAACCTATTGACACCCCTCCCCTCAACAGGTATGCAGAAGGAAACGACGTATGGATTAGACGTACTCCGAGAAGGCCATTGAGTGAAATCACGTGTAAGGCAGGCCCTCGATTGGACTCCGAAAGGGAAGCGAACGACGTGTTGGGCATGGGTCCAAGATTGACAAAGAAGAAACCGTGTGAGAAGGGGGTGAAAGCTAATGAGCAGTGGTGAAGCCAGTTAAAAAGAATTACAAAGAGCAAGAAAGACATACAGGTTTATTGTTGAGGTCTTATACACGTTCCTTTCATTAGGGTATCAGTATGCTACCAGTTGCGTCTAAAATATTGGCTGCTGTCTTGCTTCGCAGGTTGTGCAAAATACCTGGTGGATTGATTCGCGAAGAGCAGACTGGGTTTCGTTCAGGTCGTGGATGCATTGATCATGTGTTCACCCTTCGTCAGTTGTTGGAACGCCGCCACATGTATTGCAGGCCAACAATCGTTGTGTTTCTTGATATTAGGGCTGCCTTCGATTCGTTGGATAGAACTGTGCTCTGGAACCGTCTGTAAGAGAGAGGTATACCTGAGAAATTTGTTAACATCTTGAAAGCCCTATACAGAAACACCTCAGGTAGAGTGAGGGCATACAATTAACTATCATCACTGTCCCAACCAACAGTGGGGTTGGACAGGGTTTCCCAATCTCTCCATTTCTCTTTAACTTTGCCGTCGATGGCGTTCTGGAGTCAGCTCTAAAGGATGTGCGTGAAGGCGGTGTAGATCTGCTACCTGGAGATAGACTTTTCGACCTCGAGTATGCAGACGATATCATCTTACTGTGCGATAGCATGCAGGCTGCCCAAATCGCACTTAATCAGTTGGCGATCAGTATCTGTAAGTATGGTATGTACTTTTCGCCGTCTAAGTGCAAAGTACTGTTACAAGATTGGCAAGAGCCTGTACCTGCACTCACTCTTGTGGGTGAACTGCTTGGAGTTTTTGATAAGTGTATCTGGGTAGTTGTGTAAGTGCTGGCGGAGGGGTGACGGATGAGATTTCCAACCGTATAATGAAGGCTAGGATGGCATATATCAACTTCAGCCACTTCTGGCGCCGTCGTGACCTTAGCTTGGCTGTCAAAGGTCGGGTAAACAATGCTTCGGTGCGGGCTGTCTTGCTCTACGCCTGTGAAACCTGGCCTAAGGATGGCTAAGGATGTGCGGCGACTCTGCGTGTTTGATCATTGCTGTCTCCGTAGGATTCCTTGCGTTCAATGGCATCATCGCGTGAGTAATTCTGAGGTTCGGTGCGTGTGTTTGAACAGAGTGGAGATCACCATTCATTGAGTGTCGTTATCTTGAAACACCGGTTCTGGTGGCTTGGACATGTGCTGCGAATGTCATCCCAGAGGCTTCTTTTCAGGTCTCTATTCTCTAGCCAGCCCTGGGACGGAATGGAAAAGGCGGAGGGGTGGTCAGTCCATGACGTGGCGTCGTGGATGAAGGAGGTTTGTGCTAGATTAGCATCGGTTGGTGCGTCACGACTCCCTGGTTGAGGTCCGCGAGATAACTCGAATTGATGGCTTGAAACGTTATCGGATATGGCTAAGAATCGTAATCAATGACGAACGTGTTGCAATTTCTTCTTTCTTCCCTTCCCGATGATAGTTAACAAATACTCTTTGAACTTTTTAAGCATGACTGTTTTCCTTCGAGATGAAGTTCGTTGTCCGTTCTTTACTTATATATTTTCTCTTCTTTCTTTTTTTCTTTTGATCTATGTTGTTTTATTATTATTGTGTGGCGCATCTTTCTTGGTGCCATATTGTACCAAGTTTTTTATGCGTTTAAATAAAATGAATAAAAACTCGGGGAACCCAGTTAGGCCTATAAGATTGATTCTTTGACTTGATTATCTAATATTGTATAGGTAAATGAGATTCTTTTAGAGCGACGTCACCTAATTTAATTCTTTTTTCTTCCCCTCTAGGTTAAATGTAAATCAGAAGAAAAAGTGACTGAAGGCGTCTCTTGCATCAAAGGTCGTTTCCAATGTCATCCAGTTGATATATACGAAGACACTACAAATATTACAGACAGTATACTAGATAATAATGAGTGTGACAGCGAACGACAACCACCATTAGACGAGGAGGACTCATCATCACCATCCGTTAAACATTTCCTCTCTAAATATTCAGAGAATATACAAATCGATAAAGAATTCATTGAAGAAGATGATAATACACTTCCTGGATCATTCAGTGATACCTTGTTGGCATATCTATCCAATAGAGGCGAGTATGGTTGTGAAGATATACGTTATTGTTGGTCTGGTCAACCTATTTTCAATGGTCTCCCTCCAAGAAATGATTTAATTCAATGCCTTACATGTCCACGATGTAATGGGGAACGTGTTTTTGAGCTGCAAATATTTTCTACAATCAATAATTCTTTAAAAGTGTTACCTTGTAATGAAGAGTTGCACTCTGGGGAACATTCCACTGGTAGTGATGACGGTGAATTACTGACTTCTAAATCATGGTTGTTAAATATTATTACAGTCCTGGTATTCACATGCCGTAATTCTTGTTGGAAAGAGACAGATGACTGGATAGAAGAGTGTGTTATTGTACAGACGGATGAGAATGTGACAAAGATTAATAATCCAATAAATTGATATTGTGCATAACCGCATTTTTGATCCAATCTCTTCTTAATGTGGATGATAACGATGATAATGATGAAATATATGTGGTTATCTCATAAAGTTTCTGAGAGTGTGATTAAATTTCAAGTTGGTGGTTATAGACAAGGATGAATATATATTAGATATGTATTCCTGTCTACCCGTAATAATTCGCTTGTTTACTGATCTGAGAGCCGCCTACTTAGAGCTCGTGAGACAACCGATCTATCATACGCTAACCTGGTGAAATTGAACATTAAGCACTAATGGAATGCGAACAGATTAATAACATTGAACGTAACAATCACGTGAGTTCCTGCTACTGACTCGCCCACCCACCCGCTCGGTCGATTCAATTCAGATGCCTGATTTAATGGACTTAGGGGTGAAAAATTTAGTCTCGACCAAGCATTTCATTGTTTGATCAGAGGAAGAACAACAATAGTTTTTGCAGAATAAAACGGTACCATCAATTGTTTATTTCGTTGGCTTCTCATCAGCTGCCTACAAGCCAAAGACATCATTATTAAGTATATCTACAGAAACAATTTTAACATACTTACACAACGAGTTAATTTTAAACAAAAATCAGACATTCATTCAGACATCTAGAAAAAACCAAATATTCAAGTGTTGGTTTTGTTGGGATTTGGTTTGATTGTATGGAGGATTTAATCATGAGCTGACATCAGTTAGAGAACCACTGGAAAACCTGAGAGTACTGGAAAGCTGTTTCGTCCTAGTTTGGGACTCCTCAGCAGTATGCACCCACTGGGGTTCGAACCCAGGACCTTCTGCTTACAAGGCGAGCTCGTAGACCATTGAGCCACTGGGACCCGATCCAATGGTGCTTGAATTCTAACTTCTGCCAATTCACGACATAGAGCGACCACTTCGCAATGTCTTCTTCGATGAGTTACTGCCTCATCTTCAACCTGCTGTACCCTACTGGTCACGGCTTCCCACTAGAACCCCAGGTTAACTGCCTGAATAGGGCCAGTCGCTAGTGAGCATCAGATTAATTTTCAAGTGTTGGTTTTGTAGGGATTTCGTGTGATTGTATGGAGGATCTAATCATGAGCTGACATCAGTTAGAGAACCACTGGAAAACCTGGGAGTACTGGACAGGTTTTCCAGTGGTTCTTTAACTGATGTCAGCTCATGATTAAATCCTCCATACAAAAAAACCAAATAATTGAGCAAAGAATTTCCTTTTCGATAATTTCCTCTTCTCGCTCTACAATTACATATATGCTTATATACATATAATATTCTAGAATAGTAGTCAATAACAATATTAGTGTTTTGCAATTAATAGTGTTCTCTGAGCTGGTTGGTTTAGTTGCAGAGCTTTTGTCGTCCAGCTCAGAGAACACTGTTAATTGCAAATCATCCACCTGAGTTACAAATCTTCTCTATTATTTCAAAATATTAGTGTTTTTAAGAATAATATAGATTTGTTAAGTAAGATCATAATGGAATTACAGTTTACTGAAGATGCCTAAATTATAATAACAATAAAAATATAATAGCGAATAGAATGCTAAATAAAATTAAGGAAATTGTTACAAATAACTGAGGATCATTCGAATTTAGATGGCCAAGCGGGTAAGGATAATGTCTGAACTACCTTCTTTTGAACACATAAATTAGGCTCCTTAATGTGTATCCCAACAGCCAGCCTCACCAATATTTAGTAAACGAACTCTCAAGGCGAAGTTAAGATTAGTTGGTTGGAATGCGGTAAATGACTTTGAAAGCCACCTCGTTGACATCAATCTTGTGTTCTGTGTGTATCCACAAGATGAGATAGAATAACCCTACGAATGGATTTTGTTTGTCCTTTACTTAACTACTATGCAGGATGATGTTCGGAAATCCGACGAGAAACATGCCTAATTGTACAGCCTATGTAACTAGCTGGCTCCACATGAACAGTTAAATTGTTAGATACACATGGAAGGGGCGAAATTGGGCAGTTTGTCTTTTACTCCCGAACGTAAAATAGGGGTGGTTTTCAAGACAAAGAGTAATTCAGCAGCAGGGAAGGTTCTTTTTACCGCATTTCTAAGGCGTTGTGTGTTAGTATCTCACTGATGTTGTCCCTGAGGAACTCAGTTTGTAAGAATTAGGCCTTTTTAGGAACTATTTGTACCTTGGGTTGTTGTGATTTTAGATTCATATTCTTATAAATAAACGTTTCTGGATAACCGTTTTCACTCAGCAACCGTTTGATAGTATTAAGTTCCTCATCAAGACATTCATCCTAGCAGATTGCTCTTGTTCTGTGGTGGACCAAGCACTTTATTAGATTGCATTTGTATTTCAAAGGCGTGAAGCTGAAAAAATGAGGATACTGACCAGTCGATGTAGGTTTTCTATATGCACTTCTTCTTATTGTGCCATCCTCTTCTCTGGTCACAAGGACGTCTAGGAATGAAATACTAGAGTATCTTTCTTTCTTGATGGTAAAATTTATTGCAGGATGAACTTCGTTAAATTTATCCAGGATGTTCTTTGCTTCCTACTCATTTTTCAAAATCAAAAAAAGTATCATCCACGTACCGACAATAAAATTCGAGTTCATTAATAGCACTTTTGAAAGGCCCATTTTCTAGTTTCGCAAGGAAAATGTCGGCTAGAATGGGTCCTAGTGGTGACCTCATTGCCACACCATCAGTTTGTCTGTATAGTTCCTTGTTAAATAACAAGTAAACATTCATTGTACATTTCAAGAGAAGCTCTTTTATAAAAGGTGTAGGAAGGCCAATATCGATGTTTCGTCTTAAGAGTTCCTCGCATACAAAGTCCACTGTTTCCATAGGTGGTACATTGGTGAATAAGGAAGATCCTTCAAATGATATCATGAATTTATCGTCAACATTTAAAGCTTTTATCCTTTCAACAAATTCAAAAGTATCTTTTACACAGTGTTTCACCAACTCGGTATATGTAGAGTCTCTAAGAGTTCGACTAACCATTTGGCTACGGGATGGTATGGTGAAGTTTGCATATCTGATACTGGTCGAAGTGGTACACCAATTTTGTGCACTTTAGGTGAGCCATATAATCTTGGTGTGAACGTTCCAGCGGGTTTAAGGGATGTACACTGACTCCGTAAGATGAAGCTTTGCTGCTTCAGCCTTCTCAATGTTTTCGCTAATTGTTTCTCTATCGTTTCTATCGGATCCAGAGAAGACATTTTTTTTGCAATTTTAAATTAACATTAACAATAGTATTCATCTTCTCAAAGTAATCCGCTTTGTTCATGATAATCACTCCTGAGCCCTTATCCGGTTTTGTTATTATTATGTTATCATTTTTACGGAGAGCATCCAGAACTTCTCTATTTGTTTTGGTCAAAATACTATCCGAATTGCATTTACTATTCATATAATAAAAGCAACAATCGGCCAGTGTTTATTTAAGTCTTTCAACATCTTCAGCTGATAAGGGTGCTTGCCAAGGCAATCTCCATTAAGCGCCTGAAACCTGATTTATGGGTTCAGAAACGAACGGTTATATCAGTTTTCCCTGGCTTTGCCTTGGTGCGTCGGTGGCACAGTGGTTAGGACTCTCGCTGACCATGCACATGGTCCGGGGTTCGAGCCCGCACCGACGCACACCTGATATCTATGGTTGGCCTGCGAAATTTGGGCTACCGATATCCATGCTGAAAATTCCATACTTGTACCAAAAATACAGTGTGGAATCAAGCTGTAAATCAAAAAATAAAAAAATAACTGGATGTTTTCATCACTCTTTCATACATATATATATATATATATATATTTATATATATATATATATATATATATAATATATATATATGCAAGTATGTTAAAATTGTTTCTGTAGATATTATTATAATTGTTCCCTTGGGTTCCTAGTGGAACATAAGGCTTCAACTGCACTTCTCCATTTGCTTCTGTCTTTTACTGTACTTTTCAACTGCATCGAGGTAAGTTAATATTGTTTCAACTCCTCTTCACACGATCTCTTCCGTGTCACCCTTGCACTGACGTCCCACTCGCCACTTCCCTTTCGGCCTGGTTCCATTCGAGCAATGGCCTGACGCGCGCGCGATGTCACCAACCGGCCTCCTCAACGAGTGTCCAATCCATCTCAATCCACTTTCTCCTGCATATTTGTTGGTTGGCGATTCGTTCTTGTTTTGTTTGTTTGTTCCCATAGTTTCTTGTTGGTGATTCTTTCCGGCCCTGCCCGGCCATCTGATCTTCAGTATAGAGCGAAAACAGTTGTTGGTTGATAAAGGCTGCAACTGGCTGTTGGAAATATTCTTTGTGACCCGCCCACCAAGTTTCTGATCCGTATAAAAGAGCTGACTGACTTGACGTTTGTATTGAAAATCCGAGCGAATTTTGTTGTTGATGCTGAGTGACGAAGATTTCCATATTGGTTTCAGGTTGATGAGTGTGTTTCTCGCTCGCCTCCCCGATTCTCACTCGATTTGACATCCTCGTCCGTTCCGACTGCCTGTAGTTGAGACAATGCTCCCTAGATAAGTGAATGAATGAAGTAACCTCTTTCAAATCCCTCCCGTTGATGGTGATTGGCGCTGTAGATATACTTCATAATGATATCTTTGGCTTGTAAGCAGCTGATGAGAAGCCAACGAAATATTGGTAATCTTGCTTTATTGAAATTCATTAAGTGGAATAAATGTATGACATTTCATTGTTGTTTGGAAGTAGGATAGATTGAGAATATGAAAGGATTTTTCTTTTAGAGAGATTATGAATATAGAAGGTCTCAGCTGAACTATTGATGGAAACATTTTCCTTTGCACTATTGGCAAGTTAGTGTGAAAGTGAGGGTAAGCTGATGACTATATTTACGTAGGAACTATGCTTGTCAGGTCACACTTGTCATTAAAACCCCAGTTTTATATATTCTCAATTATTTGGGCATGAATGCATACTGTGAGAGGGCTAGGCCAGCTGAAACCAAGATCAATCTCGTTCCAGTTATTCAGTGATATCAAAACTGTGCAGATTGACTGCCGCCTTATTGGAAGGATGAAA